AAGTGACCATAAATTGCTCTTGCAGTCACCAAATCACTACTCACAGATGTTTCCACCAATACGTTACCAAAGGTCAGTGGGAAATGTGTAACAAGGACATCTGGCCTTCCTTTTTATAAAAACATGAATCTATGTGTACTGTTTTGTCTCTGTCTTTCCACCTGTCGCCATGACAGATGATTCTTTAAACCAACAGTGTGCACTAACTCTTCTCATCTAAGTTCGGAGCTTCAGTGGCAGCAATCATGCTGTTTGTCAAAGTTATACACTCACATCCCTGACAGACAGCAGTCATAACTCATAAGGCCACCAGAGGTCATTGTCAGGTAGTTTTCCACCAACAATATTAAAGCTGTTTATTACTTGTGAGTAAAGTCTCCACCAACTTTAAGACTTATTACTATCACACAATTTAAAATTAAATTAATAAGAGGCCAGCTGTTAATTAATCATGATTAATGCTGCCTAATCAAGATTAATCAACATTCCATTATAAATATATCATATATATATACAGTACACATATATAAAAACATAAATATGTATACATATGTATATGAGAATAGCTCTCTAAATATTTTTATATGATAAAACACATTTTCTGTATATTCCTTTTTAATTACTATTATTGAAGACCAAAACCAGATGGGTAATTTCTTGGTGTTTAGTTTGACGAGGGAGTGAAAATGATGTAATCGCAGTCATAATTTTGGTACATTTTTAGAAAGTGTACAATCTGGTCTGGGAATTTTGTACAATATTGTGTAAACATTAACTCAAAAACACCACATGAATATCTACTGTATTTTGTGCACTACTTTGTGTTTTTCTTTACTCTGCCTTCACCTTCACTTCCTCCTCTTTATTATTCCATTTCTTTCATTTGTGTCTCTCCTCCATTTTGCCTCCACTTCTAATTTATCTCTTGCCAATTCTCTCGCTCACTTGTTTTCTACACCTATAATTTAACTCCCCTGTCTCTCCTACTCTAACGCCCACCCTCGGAACTCCTCCCTTTTCTAATTTATTCCTCTATTTTCTTTCTCCTTCTACACCTTGAAATAATCCCTTCCTCCTCCAGCATCATGTCTCCCTCCATCCTCTCCCCTCCCCCCCCCCTCTCTGCCTGGTGTCACTCTCTTCTAAACTCGTTATTCCTGCTTTTATTGGTTTTACCTTTTTTTTTTCTTTTCTCTCTCTATCCTTGACTTCAATTCTTCTCAGAATAAGACAAAAGTAAGACAAAAACGTGGTATTAATACTTTATTTTGTCATTACCTTAACCAGTGCTTGTCATCCTAACCAAAAAAAATGTCTATTAACAAATATAATTCAAATGAAAAATCAAAAAAAGGCTGAAAAATATGTAATGTTCAAATAAAAGTGCAGTTATTGTCATGTAATACTTGAATCTGTTTATCGATGTGCTCTATGATTAAAGGCTGAAGCAGGAGCCGGTGTTGCTGCGGTAGGAAAACGCAGAGCTCATTCTTTCATGTGTCGATGAGTGTTCTGCTTTTACTGTCTGCTTTATTTCAGACAAAGTGCACAGCTCAACAGATATTGTGGCTACAATTCAACTAAAATGGTCCCATCAACCATCAATCGTCCCCTTTGTTGGATGTTCTATCAGTGTTTCAGTCAGCGTATCACACCATCTTGATTCACTCTGACCATCATGCTGATGATCCACTGAGAGGGACGACGGATCAGAGGTCGTGTTTGTCATTAGGGGTGACATTAGATCATAGGAAAATTAAGCCTCTCTAGACCAAAGCTGTTGTCTACAAAAAACATACACCACCTCACACTGCAATCACCAGTCTATCTACCAATCTATAGTGTTTCTTACCTACAATACCAACACCTACTTCTTCAATTACTTCTCTAAATATCCCCCTTCTTTATTTACACTTTCTCATCTCCATATTATTACTTAGCTCCTTACAAACATCACCTGACTACCTAAAGCAGTTCTTTACCATTTGTAATCATTAGATAATTAGTTCCTGTACCATCTGTCAGCATTGCCATGGTAATCATCAACTGCTGTGTACTTCATTTTGCTGCCGTGTCTCCCCTTACTCTCCATAATCGCACTTACACACAAATCACTAGAGGCTAAGCTAGATTACTGTGGTGTCACTCGCTAACATTTCTCCTCCTCTTCCTCTTGCCTGTTATCTCTCTAGCATTCTGCTTAGCTCTTAGCTGCACTAGCCTGCTCCATTTTGAAGTGATGTGAAGTAGTGTGTTAGTGAGTGTACTATATATGTGTGTGTGTGAGTATGCACTGCAGTAGAGTGCAGCCCCAAGCAGCAGCTAGTGCCAAGTAAGGGTTCGTTCAAGCTGAACAATGGCACTCTGAGTAAAAATAGCCCTTTCGCTGTTGGACAGAGTGAAGGGAAGATGGATGGGGGAGAAAGAAGAAAGCTAAAAGGAAGGGGAACATGTTTCTCGGTCGTGTGGTGAAGAGACAAAAGAGAGAGGAACTACAGGAGCTAACGTCTGAGAAGTGGGGGAAAACTGTGGAGAGTGACTCAGTGGAAGTAAAGTGGAACAGACAGAACAGGGAAGTTCACATAAGCTTTCCACTCCATAATGTGGACCATGGTTTAATATTTAATATTTAATCACAGGCATATTGTTCATCATTACCTGTAATTAACTTCATTACAGTAAATAAAACAATACTGACAATACTTTCCATTTCAACATGGCAAAACAAATGGACGGTAAATGGAAGTACAGTCTGTGTTATTACAGGACTGTCAATTTTTAGATGAAATCTCCAGGACTAAATTATTTTAGTAAAAATTAATATATACATATATACATATATACATATATGTATATATATGAATATATACATACATATATATAATTTTAGCCTAGTCTTTTAAAAAAAGTATCTCCTGAGCCAAAAAAGTGTGGACACCCTGTATAAGTGGTGGACATATCCATTATGTACATAGTGCTCAAATTACACAACATGCTAATTGTCATTTTCCCATTTATCAACCGACCTTCAATTGCACATCCAAATACAATGCTCAAGCTCCAGTGCCATTACCAGCTGTCCAATTACTTCTACCTCTAAACTAAGTCGTAATTCTCCAAATTGATGTTATCAACTATTATAAAGACCCTAATACTAAGACATTCGACCACAAACCCACGCTCTCTTAAGAGTAGCTCGCTACATCAATCATTTGTATTCAGTCTAGGAGATTTCTACCAGGCCTGCCTGACAGAAGAATCCTATATTTGTTAATGATGAAAGTAAACAAATGCTGCAGAATAGTAACATATGGCTTAAGTTCATTCTGTCACAAATCCATTTATTTGAGATCCATGAAAATGAAAAAGTGAACACAAAGAGAAACATAGGAAGAATCACAGCTGCATGAAGAAGAACTAAAATCCAATACTACACACTCAGCGGTGTCCAAAGGGGGGCATTTAAAAATGAGTAGAAAAGACAAGAGGGGCCGTATAGAATAGCGTTGTGCAAATCAAAAGAGGTAGCAGAAAAGAGAAGTTCTTTTCACATAGAAATAGGACTGATGGAGTATTTTAATGAGCGGTATTGACAGAAGGAGTAGGATACAGACTGTCAGTGCTATGTAGGTTAAGTGGTGCAACATCGGCATGCGCTGCAGGGGAGAGAGGAAGGAGGAGAAAGGGAGAGAGAAGCGTGTTTGTGTGTTTGTGCAATGTGGCCTAAGTGATAGAGTGACGTGAAAGACTTCACTGTACTGTATATACAAGTGAGGATATTACAGTGTTTGTACTGTAACATACGCATATATGTCTGTGTGTATATATAAACACATTATGGACACATATATGTGAATAGGCATATATGAATATATACATGTATATATATATATATACACTGTACATATCATGTATACTGTAGTATATATGCAAAAGATATATCCATTTAAAGATTTTTATGAAATACATTTAGTACATTTGCCTGTTTTGCAGGTATTTTTTATTTCTATTACTCTAAATCTAATGTAAAAGTGCTAAGCCTACGCAGAGTGAGAAGATTTTCCTTTTTTACAGAACCACTCAAACTAACCAAGTTGTCCTCTCTGGGAGAATAATTTTGCAGCCAGACATTTATCGTTACTGCCAAACTCCTACACTTTTGCTCTGCATTTCTAGTGTCAGCCATTAGATTTGTGTTCAATACTATAGAAAAGTCCAGAAGAAGTCAATGTTTCAAAAATGTCAATCCCTCATCCGGGCTTTTAAGAACAAAAAAACAACTGGCAAATAAATGGACCACAACTAGCCGTGGTCACTGAAAAGGTTGGCCATCGTACACCATACAGATTAATTCCTATGACATATTTTAAATACCGAAATTTCCTCCTAATTTATTTTTTACTTTATCTCAAAAAATCTTTATTTATCTTGGTTTTATATTTGGCTGTTCATTGTAAGTACTAAAAAAACACTCAGGGGATTCAGAAAAAATAGGAAGGCCAAAGAAAGGAGAGGCAGAAAAGACTAATTGTGGAGTAACAGAGACAAACAAAATTCAGTGAGTGGGTGGAAAAGAGCAGAGATGGAAGCTACAGCTGCAATTCTCAGTTAGTCATAGCATGAGTGGTTGAGCATCTTTTTTTTATTTCTCCACAAAAGCTTCTTCCCTGGTAAAAGAAGAAGAGAAAGCCATAAAACCGGAAAATATAAAATAAAGACTTATACTGTAAAAGAAAAAACTTAGTCATTAATAATTCCCATAAATCAATTCAAGATACTTATAAATGTACCAATTATTACTTATGTATACTTTACTTATTATTTATGCTTAAAGATAAATTCAAATTGACATTTTGACATATCTATTGAATGAGATTGTTTTTTGATGATGTAATAAAAATATTTCTTACAATTTCTTTGACTGCAAAATGAAAAACTCTCTCTCAGGAAATGACAAAGTAATCTTTGTGATTATTTTTTTTCTTTTTTTTTTTTTTCAGAAAAAGGAGTGGTTATGTCTTAACTGCCAGACCCAGCGGCTAATGTCAGGAGGACCTCTTGATGAGCCTCCCCTTCCTGTTCCACATCCTTCTCCAAAGCACCAACCAATGGGCTCACCTCGTCATCCGGTGCCCACTAGCCAGCAAAGCCCACTTCACAAACCAGCTACTCAGCAGGGGCCTAAACCAAGTCAGGCCCAAAAACTACAACCAGTTACCAGCAGTAGTGGACCGTTTCAGCCAACTGCTGTCAAAGACACCAAGACAGTGACACCAGCTACAGCATCAGTAACAACCACCGACACTCAAAAACAACCAAAACCTACGGAGACAAAACCGAAGATAGAGCCTGAGGACCAAGGTCCAAAAGACAGTAAACCATCCCAGAAAAAAGGAGAGCCAATTACACCAATAAAGGAAATTAAGAAGTCCAGACATTATGATGTAAGTCACTTTATTTGTGTCATTATCATAATCAACTGTATATATGTTGAACATATTGAGAAACTTGCAGGAATTCTGTGTCAATTTTTATAAGCAAAGAGCATTAACTGTCCTTACAGAGAGTAGCATAAAAGAGCACATTGTTAAAATGTCATCAAAAAAGCTTTGACGTCAACATGCTCAATTATATTTTTGTTATAGTAGCCCACCTTATACCTAGACCTTAATTACCCAAACAATAACAAAGTGGTCTGTGAGCTTACATGGTGTGTAGTGTGGATAAAGAGCAAGGCTTTTTATGGCATGAAACCAACACATGGAGCATGAGATCTTCTAAAAGGGAAGGGCAAAGAAGAAGACAATTCAATTGAGGAACAGTCAACTCCCTAGACAAGTCAGGAACTTGGTCTAGAGAGGGCGCCTTTATCAAGTTCAGGAATCTGCGTTGATTTCCATAACCTCACCTTGCTCTGGCTGTTATTGCTGACAGAAAAAAGAACTACAAGATAGTTCTATGTGAATCTGACTGCATCATATGACCAACACCCTTTTGATGGTAAGTTCATGGAGGGTGGTTGGCACTTACAGTAATTACACGTAGCACTTGTTACACGGTGATGTTTCTAACCCCTATACCAGGTGATGCTAGATATGGGGTCTTTACTGTATATGGAGTGGTTTCATTTCTCGAGTAGGCATCTTTTTGAATAAGAAAGATGGTTTTTAAATTGTATCTAATGGTAGCATATTTGTAACTATTGAAACATATTTCAGGGTATGTTGTTTTGGTCAATTAGACCAGTGAGCATCTTTAAATGGGCATAAATTATATATGTAACACTGTATATTGTATGCTTATACACTGTATACAATAGATATATAAATTCTGGAAGACATTAATAAAGAACATTAGCGTTGCTTAGTTCTGATGCACATTCCCTTCTCTCTTCTCTTTTAGGATACTAAAAGCAGCAGTACCCATGATTTGTCCCGCAGTCCTCAGAGCCTTAGTGACACTGGCTACTCCTCAGATGGCATATCCAGCTCCCATAGTGAAATTACAGGACTGATTCAAGAAGAAGAGATGAAATTAAGTGAGAGAGGTATAATTGGAAGGGGCTCCCCTCCGAGTCCATCTGAAATCACCAAGCTAGAAAGTTCTATGAGGCCCTTGCTGGAGAAGAGCCTCTCAGAAGAGAAGCCTGACAGAAGAGCCAGAAAACACAGAGACAGGGATCTAGACGACAGGGGAAAGCAGCGTCCACGCTCCCTGTCCATCCCACCAGATGCATATGACTCTGATGAGGAACTAGAAGACATAATGGAAGAGGAAGAAGATGGAGGAGACTGGGAGGGTAAAAGAAAAGAAGGCAAGGAAGAGAAAAAGGAAAAGAAAAAGAAGGAAAAAGAGGTGGAGCCCACAGAGATGACTGATGAAGAATTCATGAGGCGACAAATAATGGAAATGAGTGCTGATGAAGAGAATGAGGAAGAGGAGGAAGAAGAGGAGATGGAGGAAGAAGAGGATGAGGAAGACGAAGGATATGGCTATCCCAAACCCAAGAAAAGCCACCATAAACATGTGATCTCAGACTTAGGAAAAGAAAAAAGGCGCCTTCATCATCACTCCAGCAGTTTTGAGGAGGAAACAAAGAGCACTACTGATGTTTATAAAGGCTCAGTGGAAGAGGGTGAGGAAGATGTGATGGCATCACAAGGAGGTCTAAGGCGGTTCAAAACTATTGAACTTAATAATACAAATAGCTACAGCAGAGATATGGAGTTAAGCGGTGAAAATGATCTGAGCCTAGATAGGGAACCAGAGTTAGAGATGGAGAGCCTGACAGGATCACCTGAGGAGCGTTCTCAGGGCTACTCCTCCACTCTACCACCTACTTCATCCTCATATGGTTCTGGTCAGTCTCCTACTTCAATCTCATCAATGGAGGAGGACAGTGATAGTAGCCCTAGCAGAAGACAACGCTTGGAAGAGGCTAAGCAACAAAGAAAAGCTCGGCATCGTTCGCACGGTCCTCTCCTTCCTACAATTGAAGACTCCTCGGAGGAAGATGAACTAAGAGAGGAGGAAGAACTCTTGAGAGAACAGGAAAAGATGAGGGAGGTAGAACAACAAAGAATAAGGAGTACAGCAAGAAAGACGAAAAGAGATAAAGAGGAGCTGAGAGCTCAAAGGCGCAGAGAAAGGTCCAAGACCCCACCGAGCAATCTATCACCTATTGAAGATGCTTCCCCAACAGAGGAGTTGAGACAAGCTGCAGAAATGGAAGAACTTCATCGGTCTTCTGCATCTGAATATTCTCCTCAGAGTCTTGATTCAGAGGCCGAGGGATATGAATCCAAACTTTACAAGTCAGGCAGTGAGTATAACCTGCCTACCTTTATGTCTCTGTATTCACCAATAGAGAAATCATCAACAACAACAACTACCATTGCACCATCATCAACTTCCAAACCACTAAAGAGTGCTGAGGAAGTATATGAAGAAATGATGAGAAAGGCTGAGTTGCTTCAAAAACAGCAAAAACAACAGCAGCAAACTCAGCAACAACATGGAAGACATGGGCATTACTACGAGGAGGATATTAATGGGGAAGGTTATGATGATGAGTATGAATATGAAGAAGATCAAACAGAATATGACAACGAGGCAGCGGAAACAGAGACAGACATTTATGAGGAGATTCGCCAAACATCCCAAAACATTACCAAAATGCAGCAGGCCACCAATGAGCAAGTTGATATTGAGATTGAGAGCTCACTTCCAGACAAACAGCTTTTAGATACAGGCTCAGCTTTTGCTAAGCTCCTTGAACAGAGCAATGCTCTTCTGACTCCGGGCACCAGTCCCACCCAGATCTCTGCTCCAGTTTCCTTTGCTGAAACTGGGGGACGGATCCCTGATGTACATGTAACACAACATTTCTCTGCAAAGGATGGACACAAAGATAGGATCAAAAGCCAAGCAGGAAAAAATGGAATAACACCTGCTGTAGCTGCGACCACAATCGCAGCTTATGGAGTTTACTCCAGAGATGCAGTTACTCTTTCACAAACTAGTTCAAGCCACACTGTTACCTCTTCTCAGTCCGCAATATATGGTCGACACACAGGAAGCCCCGCTACTTCCTCAGCTACCGTTTCAAGCGTATGTAGCAAGATTGCAGAAATCACCCAGGCATACAGTCAAAGAGAAGTTATCACCAGGAGGGTTGGAGAGACCAGGGGTGTCCAAGTACGAGACAGCTCATCATCATCTGCTGAAAGAATTATTGAACCGCGTTCACCCAAATATACAACGTATTACAGGAGCACTAGCCCTCCTCTTTCTCCATCACCGCCACCTCCACAAAGTCCTACCCGATCACCTTCTAGAAGAGCAACAGCCGAATTTTCAACACAGACATTTAGTTCAGCTTTGCGTACAGAGGCAGGTGGCTCTGGGCCAACTTCTCCTGTGATGGCGCAAGGAACCCAAACATCACACCGATCTGTTTCCCCCCGGTTGTATAGACAGCAGTCTTCACAGGATGCCCCATATTCTCCTCCTTCAAGTCCAGCTAGACCAATGACAGTCAACACTGCTACATCCCCACTGTCTTCACCAACTCGATTTAGCCGTCAATCGACTTTTGACACTTACTCCCCATGTAACAGTCCACCTGATACACCACCTTATCAGCATTCTCCAACTCGCAGCTTTTACCGAACTCAAAGAGTGGAAAAGGTAAATGTGGGCACTAGTATGGCAACCACGACCACCACTTATACCAGAGGGTCAGTGTCGATGGATAACATCTCCCTCTGTAGAATATCTACAATTCCAGGTACTTCAAGGGTAGAGCAAGGTCATATGATCCACGGTGGAAGTGTTGTGGACCTCAGAGCAGCCAACAAGTCAGCCCCTATTATTATGACTGACCAAGGAGTAGATCTTACTTCTTTGGCCACTGAAAGCAGGAAATACCATAGTGGATCAGATGTTGGCAGACATGCTACAATAATACAACCACTGATTATGAACTTAAACACTCAGGAGACCGCAACACCCACCACTGTTAGTGTCACTGTAGCTGCCTCAATGTTTATGACCCAACCAAGGCAGCCTGCAATCTACAGCGATCCATATCAAAACCGGATTGATCTTGGCCAAAGCATGGGTACAGCTGTGTGTCTTTCACAGAACAAACAAGCTATTCCTACACAAATGGACCCATCAATCCCAAAAATTGATGCCAAACTGGAAGACCTCAGTGTCCAGCAGAGAGAGTTGCAAAAACAACAAGAGAAGTTGCAAAAGCAACAAGAACTACTTGAACATCAGTTGCAGCAGCACCATCAGATGCAACACCAGCAGCAACAAGCTTCTGCTCTGGCCAGGTACAACATCACGGGTCAAGTTTCACCTTTACTGAAAAAGGACTTGGTTGTGAGCCAGACAAGCTCTTCTTCAGCTGTGGTCAGTGCTGTATCACCATCCATAAATCCTGAAGCATATGGCACTGGACCCATTGAGATAAAAGGGAAGCCCAGTCCTCCCGGTTTAATGGCAGGTGGTAAATCACCACACAGTATGTTTGTACAGATGGACGGAGGACCAGACCAAGCTAGGGCAGTAACTCAGATTGTGAAGATAGAAGAAGGACAGGATGTCTTAGATCCAACAGTGGGCCAAATAAAATCTGATAATCAAGCAGCTTGCTGTGATGTATACCGACTTCCGTTTGGTGCAAGCTGTGTTGGTGCCTCTGAGAAAGAAGGCATAAGGCCACCTTCTGCACCCCCTCTGTCCTATGAGTCTGACCAAGAAATGCAACCTGGAAGGTATCATGAGTATCCGATGGATGAGCACAAGGCTTACACGTTACCTTTTCCTGGAAAACTTCAGCCATCAATGTCTGATACAAACCTAGCTGAAGCAGGGCTTCAATCATACCACTCTAAAATGGATCCACACTTTCAGGTCTCTGGGGATCTTGGTATGGATTTCACTGCGATAAAACAGGGTTATGGAGGGTATATAGGAATGCAGTACGGCTCATATACAGACCTACGCCATGGAGGAGATATTGCAGCCCAAACACTGCCTATAAGGAGATATAATTCTTTGTCTAACATCAATTCAGACTATGGTTACTCGCCCCGTGACATTGCTAACTTTCAAGAAGCTAACTTGGCTCAGTATAGTGCTACAACAGCAAGGGAGATCAGCCGTATGTGTGCAGCACTCAACTCTATGGATCGATATGGTAGTAACCCTGACTTGATGCATTTTGGCAGTTTGGGCAGAGGAACCGGGCCTGGATCCTCTAGGCTTGCAGCAGGCCTTGGCATACGACAAAACCTCCTTATTGGGCTTGATGGAAAGCCAATTTCTCACAGTCAAGCACTAACCAACCTAATTAATGCTAAACAGGCCAGTCTTAGAGCAATGTACCCTGCTGCTATCAGATCTTCTGATGGAATGATCTACTCTACCATTCAGACTCCCATTGCTTCTACACTCCCCATAACAACCCAGCCAGGTCCTGTTCTTCACCCATTACTAAGAGGGGTCTACAGGCCATACCCGTCTGCCAGTATGACACCTGTGCCCCTATCCAGCCTTAGCAGGTTACCTATGAGCCCCAGAATGCCTTTATCTGGACAACATCCAGTTCGCTACCCCACACCAGGTCTTCACCAAACAACATCAGCAACTGCCACTACTGATATTATTGCAACTACTTCAGTACCAACAAGTGCCCCAGCGTCTGTTCCAATGACAACAGCTAGTTCCACATTCCAGGATGAACCAGTTTACCTTGGAAAAGGTGCCACTGTAACCTCATCAACTGACATCACCTCTACAGAATTAATGTTACCAACAGAGCCACAACAACAGCCAATTAACCTGTCTCAGGCACACATAAACAATCAAAAACAACAACAGCCTCCCACAGCAGGCCAAGCCTATCCATTCTCAGGTACATCACAGAGTCATGGCTACATTCAACCCCCTGTCGGTCCAACTGCACCCATAAGTGGCCTGCCTATTACTGGAGGTCTTCCTCCCTTCCCTCCACCAGGTGCCATACACAAGGAGGGTGAAACTGAGGCAGAGAGGTTACATCGTCAGCAAGAACAGCTCTTACAAATGGAGAGGGAACGTGTGGAGCTAGAAAAAATTCGACAAATGCGTCTGCATGAGGAGCTGGAGCGGGAAAGGATGGAGTTGAAGTTACATAGGGAGAAGGAGCAGATACTGGTGCATCGGGAACTGCAGGAGCTGCAGAGTATCAAAGAACAGGTAGAGGAAGAATCAAGACGACAATTAAGTTTTTCACATATTACAGTACGTGTTCTATTGTCAGTTAATGTTTATGAGCTTGTTTTATGGTCAGGTGTATACCTTTCTTGTGTTGTTTTGTTAATGTGGTTGTGGCCAATGTCTTTTAAAGCATGCTCAGTGTTTCTTATAAACAGTGCTGTAACATTAAAATAACAAGAAGTTCCTTAATAGCACAGTGTTAAAATTCTGTAGTTATTAAAATGCTAGTTATATAATGTGATGTTATGGCTTGTTTATTTTTAGTATTTCCATCAGGTTTGATTATAAACTATATGCATAAACAACCTTGTTGTAAGCATGTAATGTTGGGTGTTTTACTGGAGGTTTGCTGTATGTCAATTATGCATGTATGTATGTATGTGTGTGTGTATTTTGTAACATATGACCTAGGAAGACTTACAAGGAGTAACCTTAGCTGTAAAGTGTTTGAATGGTCCTTTAGTTGAGTTTATCTGACATGAAATATGTTTAACACCTAATGGTTCAACCATTTAACCTTTTTTCACCTCAGCTCATAAATGCCATTTTTGGATATTTTAAAAGAAATCAAAAGAGCTAACATGGGAATGTTTTTGTTTTTCAATAGAACAAGCAGTTGAAAATCTTCCAAGTTAACTCTGTTAAACAGGTGTGGAAGCCTTCTTGAATGAGAATGAACCAGAGGCTGAATGCTCAAAATGCATCCCACATCCAACAGTACAGGCCAAACAATAGAACATATATAATAACAACACAGGAAAGCCATTGGTGAGGCCATGGAAAAACACTGCTGATTTCAAGAGTAAAATGTTTGCAAATTAACTATGTGAAATGAGGCTTTAATTATTTATACTATCAGTAAACATTTTCACAACAATATCTTCAGTTTATGTTTTTGTTTTCTCTCTTTAAATGTAATTGTAATTCACAAAATAAATGAGATGAACAAATTATGGGGATGTTTAATATTGTTAGAAATTTAAGGAGAGGTCTCATTTTTCATAGATTTTAATATACGCAGAGTTACTTAGGAAGTCAGTGCATCCAGTGTTTTTTCAGGCCTCACCCTGCAACCACAGCCAGTAATTTTGGTTACCCTGTTTAATACTTATATGTGTTGTATTGGCCAAATCCCCAATTCCTTTCTGCTGCAGGCTGCCATTAAAGCACCTCAGACAATGTAATAAAAATGTGCTAATTAGCATCATAAAACAAACAGAAATGGCAGCACATACTGCGCTTCATTTATGTTTTAATACCATTCTTGCTTAAATGTATTGCAATGCAATCAATTTCCACTAACTGGGATAGGTTTGTAAAACAAATGCATCAGCATAAGAATAACATCATGCCACATTAACCTTAAAAACTTATATTGCATATAAAAAAAAGCATAATTTTATGTAAAATTAGAGAAAGAAAATTCAGCATTCATTCATCTTTTTCACACCATGCTCCTACACTCTCCTGTCCTGTTCCTTTTTTTCTCCTTGTTTTGCCCATATGTGCTTCCTGTTCTTCCTTTCTACAAAATATTTTAGGTTCTACAGCAACAGCAGCAGGAGCGAGAGAAACAACTTGTCATCCAGCGGGAGCAGCTGGCCCAGCAAAAGTCACAGTTAGACCAGATCCAGTCTCTACAGCACCAACTCCAGCAACAGCTGGAAGAACAAAAGAGGCAGAAAACAGCTGCAGCACAGAGCATGCAGGTGAGAAAGCTAAAGAACGTATACAGTAAGTGTTGTGGCATCCTCTTTCTCCCAGGAGAGTGTGTGCAATACACAACAAACTCTCTGCGGTTTCTTTGCCCTCTTGTCCACCTTTTGTACATAAACACTGGCGTTGTCTAGACACATTTGCCTTTTTTGAATCCTGGCAGACATTTATGTTTGCCAGAGTACACATTAAAAAAGCTCCCTTGACAACTAGCACCTATGTTGATAGCCTTTCTCAGTGCATGACAATGAATATTATAGTTTCATATGTATTTTAGAGGGAGTCTTACTTTAACTCTAAAGGCCACATGTTTTATCCACAGTCAAGCAAATACTCATAACAATGTTTTATAGTTTGTACATGTTGTTCCTTATGGCCCACAACTTAACTTTACATGCCTACCTAGAAGGTCCTGGTTCACAGACAAAAACAAAAAAGATTTTTTGTAACCCATAGAAATCACCACATTCCTCTCAAATTATGGAGGTGTGAACCTGTTCAAAATACGGTTCTGAAATGAGAAATATACCAGAACCTTTTGATAAGTGGTGCACGGTGAAGTCATAAGGATGATCATTTTAATATAAATAATTCATTTAATATGAATAATTTTATTTTTGTTGTGGTTGGAGAGTTTAATGGGATTAGAACTGTGGACCAGTGGGGTTGATACTTTTTTTTTTAAAGCTGGATGGTGGACAGCCACTGCATCCCTACTTCGACTCCCAGATTGGCTCCCGTCCCCTTCCAAACTCCACATCAGAGCTATGTCTCAGGACCCATGAAGACAACATTGACACCAAGAGTAACATGAGAAAGCATAGCTCCATGACCAGGCTGAACAGGGACAGCTTGGATGGTGATGGAATGGTCATGTATGGCTCCCCCCGAAGGATAGTCGACAGCTGTGTGCAGACAGATGACGAAGATGGGGAGGAGAGGTAAGGGCGTGTGTGCTGCTAATTGAGGTGCAAGGAATAGACAAATTAATCTGTCTTCTGTGTGTTTGTGTATGTGTTTTTGTGTTTCTGTTTGCTGGTGACAAGAAAATATTTTGTAATCATCTCAGACCAAGTCTTTTCTGAACAAAACAATTTCCTTCTGATACAAGTTATTTGTTGGCTCAGTTACAGAAGCAAATGAAGAAATAATAACAGAGCAAGACATTTTAATGCAGTTTAAAGCATAAAATCTTTGGTACATAATGTCAATCTGCTCTTGACCAGGTACATGATGCGCCACCGTCCAAGAAGACGTGGTCGCAGTGTGGACTGCTCTGTCCAGACAGATGATGATGAAGACAAAGCTGAGACAGAACACCCAGTTCGCCGAAGACGTTCCCGTTTCTCCCGGCACACCGAGTGCAGTGGCCCTGCCAGTAGCACCACTACTGCTACCAGCATAGCCTCTGACACAAAAACAGACACATCCAAGACAGTATCTTCCAGTATTGCTGTCCAGACCATAAGAGAAATGTCTTGCCAGACAGAAATTGAGCACCTAGGAAGAGTCTCCCCTGCAATCCATGTGACCGTACCAGACCCAAACAAAGTGGAAATTGTACACTACATCTCTGGACCTGAGCGAACACAGAAAGGGCAATCTTTAGCATGCCAAACTGACCCAGAAGCCCTGTCTCAGGGTGTTGTAGCCCCACAACTCAGTGTACCGACAACAGTCAGCCCATATTCATCCTCTACGAGTACTGGAACACAACAATCCAGTTCTGCTGACATTATGACCCAGCAGCGCCAGCAGCAGCACATCGCAGCAAATGCAGCCAAGTTCGAGCGACGTCGCCCTGACCCTCTTGACATTAATTACCAGCCTCACAATCACCTTCACAATGAGTCCATCTCCAGCATCATACGACAGCAGCAGACAACTTCCAAATCTGCACAAGTCCTCTACTCTCCGGTCTCTCCTGTGTCACCTCACCGCCTACTGGAAACCTCCCTGTCCAGTGAGAGGCTGAACAAGGCCCATGTTACACCACAGCAGAAGTCCTACACAGCTGAGTCCCCACAGCGACATCCATCTATGCCTCGACCCATCAAGAGCACACAGCGATCCATGTCGGACCCTAAGCCCCTCAGTCCCACTGCAGATGAACACACCAAGGCCAGGCTGTCCCTGTACCAGCAACAAGCACTCCAGAACCAGGTAAAGTCTCTCAGTCCATTATGAAGTTGAGCAACACAAAAAGATCGATTGAGAAATAATTTACAATATTCAAATAATACTTGAATATAAAAATTGCAGACATGTATTTCAAGCACATAACATAATTCAGATGGTATCAACAGTGACACATGTTGTTTCATCAGAGTAACAACTGTATAGGTGTCATCAGTCTATTCAATGATTATTTACACCACCACCAAACTTGACCATTATTATTGTAATCTGTTATAATTTGTGGTCACTAGCGAAAATTGAATATATTAAAAAATGATAAAATAAATTGATAAAACATTTACATTTCACGGAAAAAGGCATAATGAGTGTTAGTGAGCAAAAAGGTGTGTGCTAAATGAATATTTTGAGACAGCAGCACGATTGTGTATCTTTTGAAAGTCCATCAATTGAAGAAATGCATTAACACAGACTAGAATACTGCAAATGTGTAATATGGTCTTCAACACAGAACGACACAGAACGACAAAATTTTATAAATGTGTTGATGCCTATATAATTAACATATAACAAATTTAGTTAAATGTTATGTTATGTTTTGGTTATTAATGTTACATTTTAGACAGTGACTGAATTTTAGTAAACTTAAAATTTTCAAGTGTATGATGTAAACAAAATAAATGTTTAGACCAAAAATGCTGTGGGAATTTAAATTGAAGAGACTTGCAATTTGATTAATGGAAATTACAGAATTCTTGAATTCATAGTGATATATTATAAAATGTAAAAAATTAAAAATAAAATCTCTGTGCATGTTGATGGCACAAGACTGAAAAACCTACCCACAGAGGGTACTGGTGATACAATTTTTCTAACTTTTCTTCTAACAAATTCCACATGTTTCCATATTGTCCTTGTCTGTGTGTCTTTGTGTGTCCTTTGTCTCCCTTATATATCACTACCCTTGTGTTCTCTTTTTGTTTTCTGTTTTTTGACCTTTTTTCTCTCTTTGAGTTTTTCCTCTCTTCTCTTTCATACTCTGCTCATCTCAACCACCTCATCATTCCATCTTATTCTCACTTTAAACTCACCTGTAATTGACTCCTTCTTACTCCCTTTTATTGTTACCCATGTCATCATTTGGTTTACATGTTTTTATTAAATCTGGACTACATTTTGTTTTGGTTTTACCTCTGCTATCTGTCTTCATTCAATTGGCTTACTATCATTACATTAATCATACAACACTGCTTTGTGCTCCAATCTATTTTTTTCTACGCTTCTTTGTCTGTACTCCCATCATTCCCTCCCTATTTCCCTGCCTGTCTCTGTCTCCAGCTGGCAGCCCTACAGCAGAGCTCGCTGCTCCGTAAGGTGAAGCGAACCCTGCCCAGCCCTCCGCCAGAGGAAACAACTGCATCGGGTCATATGCCTATGATGACGCATTCCCTTCAACAGGTCTACCTGCCCTCCGTGCCCAGCCTCAAGCCCAGCTCTCGGTCTGGACTGGCAGCTAAAGCCAGCCTCCTTAAAGACCTAACCCACGAACTGAAGGCTGTGGAGCAAGAGTCCACTAAGCTAAGAAAGCAACAAGCTGAATTAGAGGAAGAGGAGAAGGAGATTGATGCTAAATTAAGATACCTAGAGCTGGGGATCCACCAAAGAAAAGAGACATTGGTCAAGGAGAGGGAGAGGAGAGATATTGCCTACTTGAGGTGTATGGGGGACACAAGGGACTATATGTCTGATAGTGAGTTAAATAATCTACGATTAGCAGCCGCTGCTGCATCACATGATTCTAACGGGTTGCTGACAACAAGACCAAGCACTGCCCCTCTTAGCCAGTTTACTGGTGAACTCAACACAGCAGCCCAGTATCCACCAAACTTCCTGTCTTGTCAGTATCCTCAGAGCCAACCTGCACCACCAGCTCAATCAAGTGTGCCATACCAGTCGTCAACATTCAGTCAGCCTCCCTATCCAACAGTGTCTCAGTCCCAGGCATTGCCTCAGCCTACTCCTCTTCAGAGCCATATGCCTCCTCAGGGACCATCCTACCAACCTCAGACCTCTTATCCTTCCCATACTTATCCTCAAACACAGCCACCATACCCCCAGACAGAAATAGGGCTACCTGCTGCTCCTCAGCCTCAGCCAGGGCAGACAGGATTTGGGCCTGCACCCCCGGGTCAGCCTCCATACCCCACCCACAGCTCACCATATCCCAGTGCTGTGTCCTACCCCAGCCAGACCACCCCGTACCCTGGACATTCCCAGGCAGACATCCTGACAGTTCATCCTGGAAGACCCAGGCAGACTTCATTAGCTGATCTTGAACACAAGATGCCCACCAACTATGAAACTATCAGCAACCCCACAGTTGTGGTCACAACGACAGCACAGGATGCTAATTATTCTAGTGCAGCCCCCTCTTATGGACAATACACTGGAACAACAACCATGGCAAGTTCCTATGGGCCATATGGGTCAGCCCCTGTCTCCAGCAGCTATGGTGCATATGGTACGATGCCATCCAGCACCTACGGACAATATACTTCCCCATCGCTAAGTTCATATGGCCAGTATACCACCACCACTGCCAATACTTATGGCTATACTACCACTACAGCCAGTTCTTATGGACAATACACATCTACTGTCTCTAATGCTTACGGGCATTCTGTAGACAGTCCTTCAACCTACAGCACAGCAGAGGGGATGTATGGTGCACCTGGCTTAGAACAAAGTATTCCAAGGAACTATATGATGATAGAAGATGTAAGCGAGCTGACGGCAAAAGATGGGCTGGGCACGACAACAGTTGACATGATGCATCATGGCAGCAGTGGGCGATACCCGGGCGACATTCACAGCCACAGCAGCACGGCGCGGGGTGGAACTAGCAGCTCTACGTATGGCAGGCCACCTGAGGAAGAAGCAGCGATGCAGGAAGAGCTGTACGACCATCATGGCAGGGGTAAGAGCAGCTACAGGCACGGACATCTAGGGGGCAGCAGCAGCAGCGTGAGCTCTAGCATGGGTGGGGGATCCTCCTATTTCTATGACTACGACTATAAACATGGCAGCATCAGAAAACCTTCGCCATCCTCCAGAAGCCTTTTGGCTCCTGCTGTCATGACCAAGCGCAGCAAGCACAGAAAACTGGGCAGTATGGAGCAAAAAATCTCCAAGTTTTCTCCCATTGAGGAGGCTCGTGATGTGGAGGCAGACCTGGCCTCCTATTCCTCAGCCGCAGGTGGAGCATACTCTTCTTCTCAAATTCGAGGGCGCCAGCTGATCGAGGACTACGGGTTTAAAAGGAATACTTATGAGGGCGGCATTGGAGCCACACATGGCAGTCGGTACTATGGTTCAATGGTGGAGGACGATGATCGCATTTACTATACCTCCACTGGTCGTTCACGTTCCACGGGCTATGGCATGGACAAGATCTCAGCCAGAGATTACGCCGGTTATCGCAGTCGATCATATGAGAGGGATGATCGCCCCTACCGCTCTGGCTTCACGCAAGGACGCCATCCAGTTCGACAATACTCTGAAGAAGAGAGTCCAGTCAGTCCGTTGAGCCGGTTCATGGGGTCTGGTCGATCATCAAGCTTAGGTCCCCACCCGTACGATAGTCGCAGCAATAAATATCATTACTATTATGGCCAATATGGTTCCAGTCACTCGCTGCCAGATGTTCAAGACCACATACGGGACCTTCCCAGGACACACGTCTACAAATCGGATGATACATACATTATAGACGATTATTATTGTGCTGTGTCAGACAGTGAAGGTAAATGTGGGAGCTGAACGCCCACTTACTACTGCCCCCATCGTTTATCTAAGCGCCCCCACCCACCCAAAAGCTAGGCTTAGTAGCAAAATGAAAGAAAAGAAAGACAGAGATTGCCTTTGCATGCTGATGTTTTTCTTCTTCCTGAGTCACTTGGAGCTATTCTCTTATCAGTGGACTGCTGTCTGTCTGTCTGCCTGCCTGTCCGTTCTTCCGCCTGTTCGTCCAACCGTCTGTCTGTCCACTACTCGCATGGTTCTTCAGCGTGGTCGTTGTCTTCATTCGCTGCACTGATTCTCGAAAGGTCTTCTTTGCACGACACAAATGCATTGTGATGTCTTTAAAGGGTTTTACATTCAAATAGGCTTCGGTATACCTAATTATACAATATATATATTGTATATTATAATATATACAGTATATATGTATATATGTTAACTTTGTCTATACTGCAAAACTGCTCCGCCGCTTGGAAACAAAAAGGGCATTATTGTATAACTGCAGCACAGTTGTACTTCAAGCTTTAAGAATTTAGCCGCTCTTTTTGCAGAGACTTGCTCAGGTGTGCAGGATAAGCATAAATTGCAAATGAAAAATATTTAGCCACCAACAATGCTTGCCAAAATGGAAAGTTCTGCAGTGTTTGTGTTATCCTGTTTACATTGTCTATATATATGTGAAGGCGCTGTGATGTGTCTTTTGCATGGATGTGAAACTTTTTCCTTCCTTTCTTTCTGTCTTTTCCTTCCTTTCTTTTTTTTTGCATGCGGGTGGTCTTCTTTCTGTCTCCTTTCCTCTCTTAGCCTGCATGCCGCTGTCTCCAAACGACATGGAGATTGACTGTGATCTGCTCTCGGTTTCCAAAGCCTACCATCTGGGACAGGAAGAAACCGACTGGTTCGAAAAGCCACGATCCAGTTCTCGGCACTACGGCAGCGGTCACTCATCTGGAAGAAGTCGGCACAACGTAAAACACACTTACCATGATTATGATGAGCCCCCTGAAGAAGACTTGTGGCCTCAGGATGACTATGGCCATGCAGGACGGCACTCTTCATCCCGTGATCACCGTCACCATGGCAGCACTAGCCGTCACTCCTCTTCATCACGCCATTCTGATGAGCCAAGGTCCTCAAGGTCATCTAAGGGACACCCAAAAGACCCATCAGTTAGACATGACCCTTCAGGAAGATCTTCTTCCACAGGTAGACGTGGAGAATCAAGGTCAGGGAGCTACCATTCTTCCGACTACTTGCGGGATCCATCTGGGCACCATCATGGACAGAGGTCCTCCAGGCAGGGAGACCCACACAGATCCTCACGCAGCAAATCTCAACAACCCGCAGACATGCAGGTTCAACCACCAGGTAAATGGAGATCACCATACAGCTGATAGAGGGGGGAAAGGTCATAAGTGTGTGAAGTGTGAAAAAATACATCCAGTCACAACCAATCCAAGACAACCACAACTCCTAGGAGGCACAGACCATATAAAAAATCTGTTAATTTCATGGTTGTTCTCTACAGTCCTAGTAAAAGACAAGAAATGCTCAGTTCATTTTGAAAATCTGTTGGTGATGGCTTTACATTACATTATCAAAAACATTAAGAAAAAATAAGAGACAAAAGATAGTGGAAATAAAGGGAGGATGGAGAAGAATGTGTGGGCCCATATGATTGACAGCTGAATTATCCATTAGAGGTCAGAAATGATGAACACTAAGTTTGTGAAAATGTCTGTAAATCCTTCTCTTGATGTGAAGTCAGTGTGCCCACTTAGTCCAGTTTTGATATAATGATATATATGGTTTTGATACCTATGGTCTGGTTGGATAGCCAACCAGACCATAGGTATAAAAAGAAAAATCAAATCACATTATCCAGTGTGGTGCACTGTAAAAAAAGTGAACAGATAATCGTCTTACTGCACAGGGAAGAAATATTTTGGTCATTTTACCTGAGTTGTGATGTATTACCAAGACTTTTATAGGTCTAAGCCAGTCTTGTTAAATATTTCTTGTTGTTCAGAAAGAGTCTGCTGCTCTTTTAGATCAACTGTCCCCTTAGGGATCAACAGTTTTTTAATTAAGCATATCATGCGTAACGTTTCAAAGAAAATGTTTCTCTCGGGGCAGCACCATGACTGTGATTTTGGTACGTATTTTACAACTGGTTTGATCTTTGCTCATGACATTTTTGTCTGAATTTTTTTCCTTTATTATTTTCCTCCCTGCCAAATGCTGCTATAGCTTTATTGTGTTTAGCTAGTTCTTCTTTTGTACTGACTATACTCCTTGTACTGGTATATTTATACCAAGACAAATCTACTCTAGAGCATGTTTCATCAGCACTTTCTCCATTTAGGTTCCTCCAGGTCTGGCAGCAGCTCTTCACGTGTACAAGGCCCCTCTGGTGGGCTCGGTGGTCCAGGGCGACAGGGTGGCCCTGGCTCTCAAACAGATGGGGGACCAGGACAGAGGGCTCAGCTCCAACAACAAGCTCAGACATCAGCTGCCAGGCCAGGTCAACCTGGCGCTACACCAGCCACTGGCCCTCAGCAGCAGACCCCGACTCAGAGTCAGGGCATGGGCATAGGACAGGGCCAGACCAAACCGGGGCAGATGGGACCAGCAGGTGGACCCATGGGACAGACCAGGCAGACAAGTCTGGCAGGAACTACACCAGTGACCATGGTACGTACAAAACAAAAATACAAAAAAAAGGAGGCAGAATGGAGGACCCTGTCAAATGTCTTTTTTTTTTATAATAAAGAGATGATACAACACTTTTTTTTACAATTTTAAACCTATCAAAGATAACTATATTGTTTAACAACACATTGTAGAGTGTTGCTAAAGAGTAACATGCTAAAGAGCTGGTAAAAAAGATGACACATAATACTGTCGGAGCAAATCCCCAAAAACCCACAAACTCAGGGGAAGAACACACAAACTCAAGTCTGAAAGAGATTCTACTGAATGGCACAAAAAATGTATAAGGACAGATATTAAGTTTTATTATTATTATTTGGTATAATGGTTCCCAGAGGAACAACCACAACTCCTCTGTAGATCGCTTTGGATAAAAGTGTCTACTGAATTCATAAAAAATGTAAAAATGTAAAATAATTTGAAACTGACTCTAAAAGCTTGGTTGTGGAGTGTCAGAGTGAAAACACTAAACAGAATTCCTATGATTAATTTTCCAATTAATGCACTTTCATTTTCACTCTGATGTTGGGTCCATTGTGTAATTGATTAAGTGGCTATAAATTGTAAAATGTCAAACACTGCACTGTGCATCTCAATGCACCACCTTTGTTTTGCAGACCAGACCAAAAGGAAATGACACAGTCACACTGGTTTAAAAAAAAAAAAAAAGCTACATAGAGGAACTTATGAAAGGAGACTGCTATTTAGTAAAGTCAGACTTCTTAACTAGGGTGGAGACGGTAAACAACATGGGTAAATCACATTCCACTGTCCTTAATTTCTAAGTAATGTACTTTTGGGGAATAAAAAATAAAAGTTCTCTTTGACAAGCTTTTTCAAGTATCTCCTTTTTCTTATAGATTATATTTTGACTGTTCTTTATCTTTCTCTGCAGGCAAAGATAGACACACCTCCTGCTACAGCTATTGGAGCAAAGGCACCACCTGTCATGGCCTCCAAAGTTGCTCAGCCTCCACTCACAGGAATAGGTACAATATCATCAAAAATGGCCCTGCCACCCTCAGAATTTCAACATGTAAATGTGGTCTTTAGCCATCTTGCCCACTCCTTTCGGTCAACTTTCATTACAAAAAAAAATATGCTCTTTTCTTGTGCACCCAATGCGGAGATTCTTGCACAACACAGCCATCTAGTGGTATCACGTTCAGGCTGAAATGTGCATCACAAGCTCTTTAACATTCATTAACTGGACTGCCAAACCATCCAACCCAGCTCACGACTAAATTTCAAAATTCACATCAAATAATAATGTTAGACAAAATGAGATTTTTATTTCGTTTTATTTGGGTGTCTGCCCTAAAATTCTGGACCTGACCTTGTGGATGAGAAAATCCATCTTTTTTGTCAGAACTATTTATTTACACCAATGATGCTAAATTTTTTCTAAACCTTTACCTATACTCATACTTCAAAGACTAATAAATATTATGTTTCTGTGCCTGTATTTCCTCATTGATGCACTTTTTTTATCATTTTTTGCATCTTGATGTTTGCTTTTGGAGGGAGTTTCCACAATGTTCACTGTCTTTTTAAACTCACTGTTTTTTCTCCAGGATCCAAGGCAGTTCCTAGGCCTGGAGGTATTGGCAGTGCTGCAGCAGGTCAGCCTGGCATGGAGGGAGACAACGTATTCTCCAAGATCCTGCCTGGAGGGGCCGCTGAGCAGGCCGGGAAACTGGGAGAAGGTAAAAGCAGGACATGACACTCTCAATGACTGAACCACAGAGAAATTCCACTAATCACAATCAAATGACTAAAAGAAGTTAAAGAGGATCAAGTGGTATAAGATGAGTGAATGAAATGTTCTCGTTCACTCATTCACTACATTTTTTTAATTCCCAAATTTTGATTTTGACAAATATATAAATATGAATTAATATATATAACTAAACTAAACTTCTCTGTCTCTATTCAGCAATCTCCGGTTTTGGCAAGAAGTTCACCTCTTTCTTCTAAGGTGCCAGGACTAAGGTAAGAACTCAGACTCTCAGAAGATAGAATATGAGACACGGCTCTTTAAACATTAAGTATTGATGTGCTTTGACTGGGCTGTGACTGACATAATTTCCAAGCTACAAAACAATCCACACATCTGTGGCATAAATGTTTCTGTAGTCTTATTGTCCTGTCTCCTCTATGATAAAACTTTGTGTCTCCATGTCCATCTATACATTTGCAGGATGACGTAAATGTGAACAGATGAAGTCTTGAGGCCTTGTACCAGAAAAACTTGTAAAGTTGTCCCTATTTTGTTTCACTGAAAAAGAAAGAAAGGAGACGGTGGAGTCTGGGAAACAGAGAGCAGAGCTGAGCATAATGGTAAGATTCATCCAAACAACGATCCACCAGTCAATAAGTCTGCGGATACTGTTTGAATAATCAGCATTATTTAAATAGTAAAATTAACAGATTTAGTTTTAAAAAAGAGCTTACAGCTAATGTTTTGATATTTGGAACGCTTGTTTGTCTATTTGTATTAAAGTTTAAATCATATTCTACTGACAATACAACATTTAACAGAACTGCAGTTTGAATGGCAGCGACGTTTCATGAGCTCAACACTGTTTGTTCAACTGTCAGAGATCATTAAGTCCAATCTATCAGAAAATCTATTTGTTTAATATCTCAGCTGTAATCACTGGATCTTTACATCAACACTAATGACAAACACAGACTTGTAATTACCAATAACTCTCATTAAGAACTGGGCAGTTTGCCCACACATTTCTATCGCTGTGTAAGTGAAAGCAAAAAAGTGAAGAAAAAAATTTTGTTTGTTAACAGACCTTGAATGGACTGTTTTCACGTTACTGTTTGAAGGAAACAACACGTTTACTAGTTCAAATTGGCTGTAACTATAACTATTCAGAATAATACTTCATGTAACAGTATGTGACATTGAAAAAAAGAACTTCAAGTTTGTGTTGTGTGTGCTCTTAAAATAGAAGTGACACAGTAAAATAAAACAAAACCAAACAACACAGTTGACAGTTGAAGTACAGTCTTTTACCTCCGTGCAGTGGCTTTTTGAAGACTCTGATTCACCAGGGGGTTAACAGACGATCATGTCACACGCTTGTACTTCAGAGCCTGAGGTGTTTGTTTGTGTTCATGTGCCGGATGACGGCCTCCTCTGACTGCTGCACAGATCTCTCGCTTCCTCTCTCCTCCCACACTCGACACCTGCTGTCAAACATCACAGATTTGTTCCTCTTCCATTTTTTTTTCTTTTTTGTCATTTCATTTTTAAGTCATCTTCTCGTGAGAAGATGACTTAAAAATATTATATTTTTATATTATATTTTTTATATTATAAAAATTTAGTTTCTTCCTTGTGCTCATTTATCATTTCCGTCTTCCGCAACTGTAACAAACCCTCCATATTTTGTCTTGTCTCTGCTCATCCCACCTTTATTTCCCCAGACTATAAATGTTTTCCTCTGCTTCACCCTCCTTCATATGTTTGTACTTATTCTGTCAGACTGCCAAAAGTAACAAATACAAACAGTACACACCATTTTAGTGCATTTTAACCCAGAATGACACTTTTATAAAAGTATTTACCTTTTCAAAAAATCCTCCATGAATAGGCCCTCACCCAATTTTGACCATCACTGGTCAGTCTGGCTGAAACAATTCTATCTTAAATTATGAAAGGTAATTAATACGTGACAACAATAAGTTAAAAACACTCAACAACATTAAAGCAAATCCAATGTTACAGTCTCTAAGACTGTAAACCATGTGACGTGTTATTAAACTGGCAGCTGTTCTGCTAATGTAAAGTAATACTTTACATATACTTCTTAGTACAGTTTGGATTGGAAGGTTTGTTTAGGTTTCCATTTAATTTGATGTAGAAAAAAATGAGGACTACTGCATGTTTGGTATAAGCACTAAAGAGAACTATTCCTTTTCTGAAAATTATTAAAAATAGCATTGTAGTTATAGAGGGTAACAATAATATAGTAATAAGTTCTTCATTATCAAAAGACTTCTTTTAAATTTTCAATCAAAAAAAAAAAAACTATGGTTAGCAAAGCTCTGATGAGCCAGAATACTGTACGGTTTATCCACCGTCATCTTTTCCTGAGGCATTAACACCATCTAGTGGCCAACTTTAATCTAACACTGATCACAGACCTAACAAGCGTTTATCTACTAGTAGTCTGCTTAAAGGCTACAGTGTTCGCTTTGCACCTACCTTGGCATCACACAGAAATTCACACAATAGTGCATCTGTTAACTTTCCATTGGCTCACGCAGCCCCACTAACTAAATGTGGAATGCAAGTAAATATGCTGGCTGAGGATTGGTAAAGAACACTAAATCGCTGAAACTGATTCCTCTTGTAAAGAACTTCTTTTGTATTTTCCAAACTAAAAACTAAACTAAGTTCTAAGTTCTAAAAATGCATTTTGAAAATACTTATTTTGGACATGCATTCAAATGTTAAATTATCAGATGATTGATCAAGGTTCAAATTCGAAATTTTGGTATGTTATGTTATGCTGTTAACATAGTTATTATCCTGTTAATCTTGTTAACTGTTTTCATGGCATCTGCTCCCTGTAAAAACTCCATGTTGGGGACATGTTTCTGTTGTTGTGGTCAGTTCTGGTCAATGTTTAAAGATTGCTCCCCTGCTTCGTGTGGACTGAATGTCTGCCTGCACTAGAGGTGAAATGGTTTCTCCAGTTAGATGTAGATTTCTTCCTTCACTCTTTAAAACCATTTGTCTTCTATGACAAGAATATGTACATTCCCTTTTCGGTGAGAACTTCTTCCACAGTTGGAACCAAATAAGGATATTAGACAAGAGTCTTCTAGAAACCAACAAAGTCGCTTATTATTGCTTCAGATATAGGTTCTGTTCACATTTGACTCCTTTTGCTTCTTTTCCAGATCCATATTGTGGCTGTTGGGCACATCCATACACCTCCCACATCAAAGAGCCATTGGTGTTCAAAAGTGTGCCCAAAATCTAAAGAAGCCTCTTTTTATTTTCACCACTTTTTCTCCAAAAAGTTGAGAGATGATCTCCCCTTGCTTCACCGTAGACCTGTGGTTACGGTGGTGAGGATAAGAAGAACCACTGGAGGCTTCGACCAACTTCCATGAGGATTTGCTCTGCGGATCCAATGAAGGAAACCACAGGAAACTCCAGCATTTTCACAAAAGCCACATCATGATGCTACAGTTTATGCTCAAGGAAGTCGTAACAACACTCAGACCACCACTCTCTTTTTTTCTATATTGTTCAAGAAAAAGGAAACTCAAAAGGAGGTAATAACCATTTTTTTCTGGTACTGGAGACCTCTTGTTTCATCTCCCGAGAAGAAGAATACTGAGCAATGATGTCATTGTCAATGAATATAATAATAATGCAGCCAACAGACGAGAGCACGTTGGCAGCATTTCTTTTCCACGGTTGCTCTGTTTCTATTTACATTCCAGTTGGGAAATGAACCTGATGCTCCTCCCCCTCCTCCTCCTCTTCACCTCCCTGTGTTTCCTGAATGCTGATTCTTCTTTCTAATCCCACCTGATAATCCTCAAAATGCCATGTCTTTAAGAAAAAGTGTACAGTGGATTTAAAAAAAAGGAAGAATTTGGAATGCATGAAACTTTATATCCAAGACCTTACACTGTTCATCATCCCATAACCGATGCCATAAAGACATTGGGAAACCAATCCAAGCCAGGAGTCCTAAAAAAGAGAGATCAAAGAAGACAGAGGGACGTGGCCTCAGCAAACGAGGGCGAGCCGATGTTTTGGCACCTTTTCTCTGCAAAATTATAAATTTATTGTTTATCTGAGTAAAGTCGTATGTTGTTTGGTTGGTTTTTTCAGCCACTATAAAGCCATTGAAACAACATTTACCTGCTTTTCTCATTGTGGGAGCTTTTTTTTAAAATATTTTGCAAGATTAGGCCCTGATATATACACCTCAGCACTTGCTTTGGTCATTTATTATCATTGTTATTCCTATTTTTTTTTATTTTGTTGCAGGTTACCAGCATCGCCTTAATGATTATATGTTTTATTTTTTAAGTAACACTGGGATATTTTTATGTGAAATACATACTTGTTTTGTTTTTGTCATAATATCAGCTGAAGCAGTGGCCACAGGGAGATTACTTTATATACACATATACATACTGTCATTATTTTTATTTTGATAAAAAATTTGATATTATTTATCAATGATTAATTTATTTATGTTTTGTAATTTTTTAAGATTCCAATTCTTATGAAGTCCCATTTTAACTTTCTGGCTCTTATTTATGATCAAAAAAATTAATAAAAGCAATAGATTAAGAGATAAGAGAAGTAAAGAGCACAATCACGTGTCATTTCAGAAGTTGGTGGAAACAAAAATAAGTTGCCTGTTTGTCTAACTTACCACTGATGTACTATGAATCCTACAGAAATGTTGTACTACTGCTAAAATAATACATAAGGAAGCAGGAGCTCACCTTCGAAACTTTTCCTCTGACCAACAGTGATACACTGATGTTATCAAACAGTCGGTCCATCAGAGTGATGAGCTGCTGGAGCCTAACGTGAACGCACTGCAGGGCAGCAGAGAGTAGACACTGAAGTAGGCACTGAAAAGTAAACCAGTAAACACATCACAGCAGAACTGGACACGTGATCATCACTGGATGAGGGTTTGGGTATAATGCGATTCCTCTCACCCTCCAAGATGGACTGGAGTCTGCAGCAAAAAAAGAGGGGAAAAAAACCCCCACAAAGCTCTTTGCTCCATCAGAGTGTTTCAGCATGTCTGTGAAAATATGGGAAGCACACTCGCTGTGGTGTCAAAAAAGCAAAAACAACAAATATACATATATAGTCAGCACTGGTGTGACTGAGGAACCAAAAACAACACACATCTGATTGTGTCACAAAGTCACTTGCCTTTTTTTTAACGTTTCGTTTTCTATCATGGTGGCGTCCTGGCCTGTAACCAATCTCCCAGACTGTCAGTTGTCTTGGAATCTTCTCAGGTCAGTGTTCCTCCCTGCTGTTGTTCCTGCAGTGCATTGTGGGAATCTACTGTTCAGTCCTCAAAAACACTCTGTCGGGACAAACATTGCAAGGCCTTCAGCAACAAACCAACAAACCAACCAACTTCTGCTGTATATTGTCTGTGTGAACGCTCGCTGGGAAACGCATGTCACCCAGCGCAGAAAACCTCAAGGTCATCTCTATATTGTTCTGTTCCTAATGTTTGTATGTATGTATGTATGTATGTATGTATGTAGGGGTCAGTATGCGTGTATTTAAATGACCATCACCCAACGCGGAAAAGAAAGAAAAAAAAAAATCAAATGTACACACAACAAATATGGTGGGCAGAAGAGGCGACCTCTCATCTCCAGTCGTTCTATGCAATCTATCATATTTGCAAAAACAGAAAAATGAGGGAAAGGTGGGAACATGGGAAAATGAAAATATTCACCATCAGTCATTCTTGGCATCAGTCATAGATCCACATAAAAACTATAAACATTTATTTGTGATAGGTCACCAGTAAGTTAGAACATAACAACACAAGTGATATAAATAGAGGAGAGATATGTGTATTGTTTACAACTGGAATGTTTTGGATTTCCTCTCCATTACAGGTTACAGGGCTGTGTGCAGATATGTGGTTGGGTTATAAATGTATGCAATGGCGGTTTTCTGAATCCAGTTTCATTGGTCGACAAAACAGAATCCGAGTCAGTCCATTTATTTTAACAGAAAAATTTGATGAAACTGCCATTTCAGACACAGCGTTTCCCAACCATTAAAATAATCAGTAGTTACAGAAACTGAAATGAGTCAAACAATCAATGCAAAATATTATGATGCACAGTCAAACGAATACACTTGATAAATATAGACAGCAATATAATTCTATGAATATATATAATGGATGATATGTTTGTCAAAGAAAACAGGTAAGACTGAGCTTAGGTTGTATTTGTTTTTGTTTTACTAAGAGGCCAGACTTTCTACGAAAAACAAAACAGCCAAACGGACCCAGATTTTATTAAGGCATTCCTAAACTGAGTCAATTGTATTCAAAGGTGCAATGCCACAACGTTCATAAGCTAAATACACTGTGCAATGTACCTTGAAAAGCAAACCGTTCTTATCAATAGACCAAGAGACGTAAAGACGTAAATATAGAAAACAGTAAAAGAAAATTCAGATTTAAAGAGTGGTTTGTTCAGAATGACAACATAGAATAATTTCAACATCAATATATTAATTGAAACAAACCATAAATGCAACTGTGTAAAAGAGTTAGTTTGTTTATATATATATTATATTTTGTTGTATTTAACTGGATAATTTATTTATGTCAGAATTTATTATTTTTTTCTTATGGAACAGAATGATTGAAAATATGAAGTGGAGAGTTTAAGGTTAAAAACCTATAGACACCAACAGCAAGGATTATTTATTTAGATGTTTTACTTATATCAGCGATATGTGCATGGACAATATCAATGGCCAAAAACAGAACAAGTTAATTTTTTGTTATTGTTATTTGAAATATGTTAACTTGTTGAGTTAACTTCAGAACTCAACTCACTTATACGTTTTAAAAAAAACATTGTCTCATATCTACTTCAACAGATAAAGGCAAGTGTTCTGTTAAATGACTTGACCAAAATCACTCTCCCTAGATCACTATCAAAACTACAGGTCAATACCTGAAGCTGAATTCTGGTCAATTTTGCATGTAGCTCTGTTGTTAGAGATCTACAAGTATTGTTCCTAACTTCTTATAAATCATTAATTGACTCAACACCTCAGTTGCCATGCTGGTTGGGGACAAAGATTTTGGGTCTGTTGGTAGAACATGCTTTTTGACTGTAAAAAAGAAAAGAAGCATAACTACCCACCAATCCTTTATAACTCATTTATTTTTGAAAAGATGTGTAAAACCAGGGATTTACACGTGTTTATGCTTTTTTTAAATCATAAAATTTATTTTCAAATATAAATGATATAGTATTTTAGTAGAAGATTACTATAACCATGTTCAGGACTATTTACCTAAAATGAAACATTGAACTCCTGGAACTTGCCGTTTCTCCTAATTATTCAGTTATACCCAGTGGTTTCTTGTAAGAAAACCATTCATGTTGCATTGTACTCGTAATAATATTTCAACAAGGTTTTTTATTGTGGAAATCAAAATCCCGGAAATTTGCTAACAGCTCTGGTTATACATTACAGATACAAGTATACAACATCAGGATTACATTTTAAAATCAACCAGAATTCTTTTAAGCAATTGACTTCCCCTGGATTATATATATGGTGGATGTTCTGTACAATCTGTACAGTTGAACTGACACAGCTGTCAGTGGCTCCAACACAAGCAAGAATGACTATGAAAGACAGTGTCCTCATGAGCTAAATAATTCTAAACATCCTTGGTAGTAAATCAAATGTTTTGAAATGTTTGTAAAGAATAATCTTCAATCACCTTTGCCTCAGGAAAGCACACACTGCAGCATCAGAGATAATAGAGATCAATGGCTGTATCAATGCTGGGACACTAAAGCTGATTTTTTAGCACTTTGACACAGACCTGACCAAATTCACTCCAAATATTTGAACGACAGGTTGATTAATACATGATTAATGTCTGGGTCAAAATGTGTGAAAACATCACTCTTGTTTTTTGCCCTGGTCTTTATGCAGCCACTGAAGATGTGACATAAATATGCATAGCAGCAAGGGCTTTTTCTACAATACTAGGTACTAAAGAAAGCCATCCTGTTACTGCCCTCTAGCCAGTCGTGGTCTCTGTTTATACCGTGCGAGGTATCTGTCTATTTCCAGAAACACAATGGACTTCAGGTCAGACCACAGCAATCAACAGTGGGCAAAACTGGCAAGCCACAGTCTGTTTTTTCATAAGGTGTCTGAGGCATGTAGGTCCAATGTGTGCCCTTGTCCAAATCTCCCCAAGAAAGACAATAGTTTGTCATTAATGTTCCACCTACTCTTAATTCAAAATGACATTTTAAAATCCCTGCCCTGCCTTGCAATAAAACAACAGTTGAGCAACACCCAAAATGTATATAAATGTGAAATTGTTGAATTATTCCAGGCTCAAGAATATTAGCAATAAGGATGGATATATAAAATCAAACAGCCAAACCAGTATTTGACTCTTTGGAATAGCAACAATGGGACACTGTAGGCTAAAACTTACATACATTTAGGGCTGACAGTTGTTTTGCATTGACCTCTGCACCTCAGAATTCTTTGGGAAATCCAGACTGTGTGCATGTGAGACTTCCTAAACCAAAAGGTAGCATAGCATACAAGGCTTGTACAGTAGTGTTATAAATGTCGCCGCTGCTCTTGCTGTTGGCCATACAGGTAGAAGTAAGAAGAAGAAGATCCAGAGAATGAAGAGAAATTTAACATATATATTTATATATACTTGCAGAAAACATATCTATCTATCTATACCTATAAATATATACAAAAAAGAGATCTGGAGGGAGAGAGAGGAAAGATGACAGAAAATCTCACACTCCCACTTTTTACACTGTAAACGCATCCTTTCTTCATGACTTGTGATTGTAAAACTACAAGTGCATGACCCGACAACAAACCCACCCCTTAACCATCTCAGCCTTTTGACTTCCCACCCCACAGGCTGCCATGATTTCTGTGTAAATACTAGAAGAAAAAACCACACACACACAAAGCTGATAAAAGTCTGCTTTAAAAACAAAGTGCAAATGTTCCGACAGACATGTTCTGTACAACATGTATAAATCTCACATTACACACACAAACACATGCACATGGGCATGAAAGCCTCACTTCCCAAACCTTTGTTTTCTGTGTGTTGAAATGCAACTACACACTACATAACAACTGAGCAGTGGTTGACTTGAATAATAAAATTACAATATTGAGTTGTGTATGTGTCTGGCTGGCTCGTGCAGACTGTTTCAATCTCATTAATTCAAGTTGTATTTGGACATTTAAAAAAAGAAGAAAAAAAAGAAAAAATATTGGTCTGTGTAGAGTTTCTATACATGTTGTGTTTGTAAAATGAGACGATATCCAAAAAGAATTTGGGAAAAAATATTCTGGTTACCGTGTAATTTTATGAGACGGACAGATATATTTATGGGGAGATGGAGAGAGGTAAGAATTGGTCGCTAGAGATATGTATAAAAAAATAATAAATAACTCAATGAATGACAAAGAGAGAGAGAAAAATATAATATAAAAGCTTGAGAGTCTATAAATGATGTTCCATTCACTGTTGTAAGTGCAATGAGCTAAAATTCCCTGTTACCCTATTGTAAAACCTTGTGTATGTTTACGTGTATTCTTCCTGTAAATGGGTGTAGTAGAACTGGTGCATCATGCCATGTAATGTGATGAATGACAAATTATGACCTTACATACATTTCAATCAGGAAAAAATAAATAAATGAATAAATAATAAATATACAGAAAACAAAGCTTGTGTGTAAACTTATTTTTGCTCTTTGGAACCACGACTACTACTGCAATAGGCGCAGATGGAACTGGTAGCGGGGACCCCCTCAGATTGAAAGTAACCCCAATTGGCCCTAGCCTTAACTGCGTTCTCTTAGGGGTATAAAACGTATAAAAATTGTGCGCGTCTTTTGACCCCGATTTGTAGACCTGGGTGCGTTTTTCTTTAACAAGATCTGGCAACACAGCAATCAACGCGTACGAGCCACGGTGTTTTCCACCACTATTTCCATTTAGTGCATTTAAACAGATTGTATGCTTCAACCTGAACGGACAAATGCAAGCACACGTGAAACCGTAGATTCGCCAAGACCCGGAGAAAAAATATCGGCCTGAAATTTTAATCCAGGATACAGGATAATCTGTCAATTTGTAGGGGCAATAAAAGTGGTTTGTTTTGTTTAATTTTGATTTAATTTAATTAATTAAACAATTTTGTTTGTTTTGGGACTGTTTTTTATATATTTCAAAATGGAAAAGGTCGATATAACAATATACTTATTTATGTTACCAAATATTAAGAACGAAGCACTTACCTTCTATAGTAAGAAAACTGCAATTCAATTCCACTCCAGGGTCTGAAAGTTTGACGGCTATCAGCGGCCATCTTCGAATCTGTTCTCGAAGGTGACTCGATTGGCACTCCATTACCAACGGCTGCTACCCGTCTCCACCAATCACAGTATTTTGTTTGCATACAGCTTCACTCGCACTTTATCACATACTCTGTTAACGATTTAGACAGTGAAATTACAACAGGTTTGAAATTCAGCCGCCTTCATTAAAGATCACAAAAAAATAATGGAATAAACACACACAAATGTATATATATATTTGTGTTTATTCCGTTACATATATATATATGATTGAAATATTGTGTTGCAACATTGTTCAATTTTGTGTTCATTGAAATACAAATACAATTATCTTTACAATTTTCGTGCTCATGTATTTAACTGTTTTAATAATACTTGAGTAGGATTATTACTACGAGTGTGTTAGCAAGTTTCCCATAACCACACATTTAAGTATTCAAATTGTTGATATAAATGTATATCAGAGAAATTAAATAAAAATACATGAATAAATATCCAGCTCAGACTGCTGTGAGAATATTGTTTTAATATTTAAAAGGAATGACAAATTGTCAAAAGACAATTGATTTTATTAGTTTATATTTCCCCATTTGTGAACCTAGCAAGTTGTCTGCAATGTTCCCACCTAAAAATGCTTAAATACTATAAAAATAAATCAATTGCACAAAATAATATGCCATTTTGCTCATGATTACCTCTGTGTAACACTTACATCAACAATCACATCATACAGTTCAAGAGAAGGAGACTAAAAGTCATTACAGAATAATCTCAATGGAACATTCAAAGCAACACAAAAACTTAGAGGTTGTTTAACAACAAGAGCATTAGTTGGGTAACATGTACAGTCCACATACAAGAAATGAATGCTATAGTCTTAATCTTCACAAAATGCATGGACCAAATACTCCTAATAAAGTCTCTTGTTCTTGTGTAGGTACATTTCTACATTGTCTTGACCAGTGTTGTGTTGGTACAGCATGTGACAGTGCACCGTGAGTAGTGTTTGAAAAGTTCAATTTTAATGACACAACTAACAAAATACAAAAACAAAACAAAAAATGGGAAAATTAACAACAGGATTTACAGTAAGTAGCCAGAATATTTGAAGCTCAGTGTCTGACTACTTTTACACTGTCCAAACTGGTCTGGTCATTGGTTTGCATCTGGACTCTCTGAAACAACAGCTCACCTTTGCGTTATAGTAAAAAGAATATAGAGCAAGAGAAAAGATGCTTGACAAAAGAAGTAATTCATAAAACCTCTAATATCACAAATAAAATGCATGGAGAGAGAGAAAAACAGTATGGAACAATGAAATGAAGAAACAACATTCATGAAGAGTAACATGAAGGGGCAAGGATTTAAATTGACCCAAGGTTAGAAACGACAGAATAACTTTAACTGGAATAAGGTTTTAAGACTATGGCTAGGACAATAATCTAAGCATCTGTTATCAAGTGTTAGGTAGAGTTAGGTCACTCTACAAAGACCCATTGGATCTATTGTGTTGTACATGTTTAGCGGCGACAGTTGCACGGAGCTGTGTGACTGTTGCTTTCAGACTATTTAGGAGACTACTTGCAGGAACGTCATTAACAATGTTTAAAGGAAGTGTGCTTGAGTGTAATGTAGGGGAACATGTACACTCAGCTGAGTTGGATCAACTTTGGGTTGACTTAAATATATATAAATATATATACTTTAACATGGGAGTTACATTCTCCACCATTGTTAGTACAGAAATTAATTGAGCTTACATCAAGTAGAAAGTTCAAGTAGAGGACCTGACAACAAGAAGAAACAGGGTTGTGTATAAAAACAATGGTTACAGTCACAACTATTTCAGTCTGGTTTAAATAGTGAAAGCTTTAGGATAAGATATTGTTATTCATGTCTGGGTCTACTAACGCTGCTTACAGAAGATTGTGAACACTTGATAAAAATGCATTTAAAACTAAAACCTGTACTTTTCTATGCACCCAAATCATTATTTATCAAGTCAATGAGATCAATTAGGACAAAATAATTTACCATTCACTCCCTTAGTTAAACATAAACTACTTTGGAAATTTATCCGTTGTGACACCGCATAGTTTACCACAGGGTCACATCCGCTTTCTTTTATTCTCACAATTCTCAAATTTAACAGAGGATGCCAACTGTTGCAGTTTAACAGGTTGGTTTCCATCCATCCTAAATAAGGAAAATACTTGAGGTCATCAGGTGTTTCTGTTCAGAATCAGATCTGGACTGCATTTGTGTATGTGATGTTCAGGTGGAATGAAAGGCAATAAACACTGACAATCAACAATCAGAAAAGTCACATATTAGTATTATCTAGATAGAATTAAAATAGCAGCTTAGACGTAAATTATGGCTGGGAGCAACATGAAGTCACCAACTGTTTGTAAATCAACTACTGTATTATTGTGTGTAAATTATTTTAACAATTTAAAACCTGGAATGACACATTGCACAAACAATGTCACTTTGAGTTAACATATATTTAGCTAGATATCCATTTATGTCTGCCTAGATTTTTTTTTCATCAGTGGCAGTCTGCTATTTTCATGTATTCACATTTGGTATTTTTTATTCCGAGCCAAGTGGGTTCCATTTATGCAGAACATTCCACCAGGCCACCGAGGGTCGTCACACTAGCTTTCTTATTTAGTTCATCATATTAACGCATAAACCTTATGTAGAGGGTTCACAAGAAAATAATAGTGGTTACTGGTTAGACAGGGGAGACTGGGGTAGTTATGAGCTCACGCTTACATTGAATTAGTTGTGACCGATTACATTTTTTTTATTATTATTTCATCCTATGTACTTGTTCTTAATCTTTAAGCCTAAAAGTTTTTAAAACATTAAAAAAGATCCTTCTCAAGAGTCCATCTGCAGTCATAGGAGCATTCACATCCCTGATTCCCCCAGTGACCGAGTTTCCATCAGATAACACATTAATGCTTCCTCCAACTTACTTCACGTTACTTTTGCTCATTAATGAAATACGACAGAATGTTTGTAGAAGTTTCAGTTTAGAAGTGAAGTTTTTTTTCACATCCGGATGAAACATGCGAGTCTGTGGGCTGTGTTTTGAATCGCGTGTTCCAACTCTCTGCCGCTGGGATTTGTTGTGCTGCAGATATTGTCGAAGTAGAGACTTGGAAAGGTTTGCTGGTTGTTTGACGATAGTGGAAAAAAACACAACTGAATGGTGTTGTGTCTGTGGTTTTCCATAGACATCAAGAAGATTACAGAGTGGAGATCTAGTTCCTGTGTAGGTTTTCCCCCTGTGAGCTGGGAGTGGCAGTCAGGATGAAGATGATGGTGATGGAGTGAGATGAAGACAAAAGTAAAGGCTGGTATGTGGATTCATAACATCTTGTTGTAAGTCATGAGGGGCAGGTCATTGCAGGTTACAACTAAGGGATATCTTAGAGACTAAGATATATCAGTAGATGTCAGGCAGATCTTGGTAGTTCCTATTGAAGTAGCCACCAGTGTAGATCCAGTCCTGGTTGCCTGTGTATGGGTTGGTGCCCATCTGAAACCACCTGAATGAGAAAGATACACATTACGGTCTGTGGAGGTCTACGAGGGCTATTCAAAATATGTTTGACGATTCTTTTAGGATAAACCATCTGTTTGGTTAGGTTCAGTGTTTCCCTAGGCATCTCGTCCAACCAAGGCAAAATGTAACTACAGACACTTTGCTCATAAGCTCATGTTTGCACATAACCCACCTGGTGGACCATTCCTCTTGATTCCTGGCCCTCTCTTTTCTTGCAGCTCTTTGTTTCTCCTCCAGCCTTTCCTTGTCTTTACTGGCATCATCTGCACAAACACATCATGTCAAAATCAGGATTTTCTGCCATTCGTACAGGAATCCACTAGGTGGAAGCATGGTGTTAATATTACATATAATGTGGTAGACGTTTCTCACAGGGGGACGCTGACCCTGAAGGTCTGCAAAGGTACTTCAGTTGACTATCTAATTATTTTTAAAGATGTTTTACCAGAGTAAAGATGTTTTTTTCTTAGCTTGTCTTCTCAACACATTTATATTAATCCAACATATCTTGGTAACCTATAAATTAAGTTTACTGCAAACACAAATTTATACAATGTATGTATTAATGTATATATAGTGCGGGGTGCCTGCTCCATCAGTTTTGGAGTACATCACCTAAAAAACATTGACCTAAGGCAATTAAACCTTTATTACTTAAAAAAATGCAGCAGTAATCAAAGTAAAGCAAAGTGGAAAGTATATAAATTAAAACTTGATGGATTTATATGAAAGAAAAGAAATTTACTTACCCATGTTGCCATTCTCCATGGCCTTGATGTCAGGCCTAAAGCGACAGTCAGTGGAAGGCAATATGGCCTCCATGCCTGGCACCAGCTCGTTGAGAGACATTGCAAAGTTGGTGAAATTGTACATCTGTGTAGGGGGTAATTTTATGCAGTTAAAATCATGTTTAATATGTTGATATAACCATTATTAAGATAAGAAAATTGATTGATATTTCTAAAAGCAAGGTGATCACACAGAATAAGATGAATATCCGTACTGTAGCAGAGTGAGCAGGTCTGGAGTCTATTCTCCACAGCAGAGTGCTTCCTGGAATGACTGACACAGTCTCCTGGACTTCAGGCATGTCATCAGCATCATCATTCTCTGCTCCTTGTTGCTCCTCCTGAAAAAAAAGCATATTTCACTTTCTAATCTTGATCAGGAATATATATTTCTTAATCATTAGTCATAGAGCAAAGCAAACATTTTGCAGCAACAAAACAAATAACCAGATGCCTATTAGCGTTTACCTGAACCTGCACAAGGCTATTGATTTAACTTGTCCTCTATATGTATAT